AACTGAAAGCGTGAACGAAGGGTGGATGCCGAGGTTGGGCAAGAAAGGCGAGGTGCAGAGGAGTTAAATTTGCAATCTTGTTCCATAAGCACCACTCTCCAGCCTTCTCCCACACCAAAGGGTGTATGAGCTTACATGTTAAAAAGACGAAAACAGAGTGTCGCATTATTTTGTTGTTTAGGGCAGAGGACCTACTTGCGGAGGTGGCGATGAGGAAGTGAGGAAAGTGCCTGCAGTGGGCAATTGCTTGTTGCTGAGCAGCAAAGGTGGTTGATGAAAAGGAGGGCCGTGGGAGCTTCTGTTGGTTCCTGCAGGTGACCTCACCGTGATGTTTGACACAGACTTACTTCCAGGGCATGATCCTTGAGGGCGCTACCGTTGTGTCGGCCTTGAACTCTCACCAGCCCACAAGGCTGAATCAACGAAACTGAACGCTCTGCTCAGCTTCTTTGCCTGGTGGTTCTTTTAACAAGTGCACACACTGTTTCCTCTTCTCCCGAATCCCAACCCTGAACTGGCAGCCCTGACCTGTAGTCCCACGAAGCTGCTGAAAGCCCTACTCAGCTTCTCCGCCTGACAGCTGCAGTCTTCCGTTTTGCTTCTCAGCCTCTCTGCCCAAACCTAATCAACAAATGCTAGGCTTAGTTCAATGAGTCTCCCTTCCCCCTGGGATTTTTGGTCTTTGAACTCTCGCCAAAGCCTTCAGAAAGCTGTCTTGGTATTTTATCTAATGATGCTGGTTGCACTTGCTGGGAGGTTTAGTCTGTTACAAACGAGACCATTAGAGTAGAAGCGGAAGTCCACTGGCGCTTTTTTCAGTGCTCCTCGGGTGACAAAAGCCGGGCTCGAGAGTTCAGGAGCCAGACCGATGTTCTCATGAACAGAGGGAACCCTGAACAGAGGGACAGAGCCTTACCCAGCCACCCCGTGTGTTAATACCAGAGCTGGAACTCAGACCCACGTCCCCTGAGTCCCAGGCCATGTGCCTTTCATGGCACAGGCCAGTTCCCCCCGGGGGACCCCTTCTGCCTCCATGCCCTTCTGCCCTGTATGCTGGCTGTTTCTGTGGGCTGTCAGGTGGATCTTGGGCCCCTCCGGCCCATACACCACCCCAACCCCGGGGCGGGCAGTGTTGGTGCCCCGAAAGACTTGGTACTTCTGCTCACTCCCCACACCCTCCCTGCTCCCGGTGCAGACAGGGCAGGCCACCTATTTGTCCCAGACATGCAGTCAGTTGCGGCTCTGCCCTAATGGGCCAGGATGGCGTAATTACAGCCTCTGGCTTCCTGCGTAATTACGGGCCTCCCCAGGACGCCAGGGTGCTCTGTTCCCCGCTCCCAACTCCATAGCTCAGCCTCTGCTGCTCCCGTTGCCTCCTTTGCCTGAAATGTCCCCCTGCTGCTCAGAGTAGCTCTCAGTCCTCCCGTCCTTTGCCCTTCAGCTCTGCTGATGCCAAGACCTTGTTCCCGGCTAGGTCAGGGGCACCCTGTCCTGGAGAGCGCGTAGGTCAGCCTGCATCCACATGCCTTCTGCCTGTGCTAACCACAGAGCATGGCTGTTGACTTCCTCCTGGCCAGACCCAGCTCCTGCCCCGTCTCCGTTCTCCGACCACATGACTCATGGCGGGCCCAGGAAGGCTAGGCAGAGGCTGGGCTCACCTGGGGAACATAGTCCTTCTGGTGACCCTTTCCTCTCTCTGCGGGAACCCGCCACCCCCTCCTCCAGGGCAGTAGCAGGGCGGGAGGCCCTGGCAGTGGGAGAATGGGGCGGTGAGGGAAAGGGCCAGGAGCCCCAACCACCCACCATGTGATGAGCACAGGCAGCTGGTTAGGGAGGAGGGAGATGGGTTTCAGAGCTTCTCGCGCCTGGGTTCGAATCCCGTCTCTGCCCCTTTCTTGTTGGTGATATCGGGCAAGTTGCCACTCTTTGTTCTAACGTTTCTCATCGGTAAAGTGGGGGCAGTGCTCTCCGTGTCCACAGGAGAGACTCAGTGGATGAACTGAGAGAACTCAGCGAACTCAGAGTTCTCTGCTCTCATCGCCCTGCCCTGCTCCGAGAGAAGGCAGGTCACAGAGAAGCTGGAGAGGGAGACAGGCTTCACGGTGCAGGGCGGCCAGAGGCACACCAACGTGGTGCCGGCTGCACCCACTGGCCCGCAAGGGAGGCCACACTGCAGCGCGGGCACCTGTTAGTGGCCCCAGATGAAGCCGCCCCACTGGGTGTGCGTCCGGGACCCCTGTCTGGGTTCTCAGAGGTGGTGCCAGCGGTGGCAGCGGTGGTGGAGGCATGGAGAGGGAAGTCACCCCTTCTCATCGCCCTCCTTCCACTCATGTTGGGGGCTGCAGCGCCCTGGAAAATGAGGTAGAGTTGTGACCCAGGCTTCGGCACAAACCCTCACCCAGGGCATGCGGGTGCTCAGCCTTCCCCATCCAGAGAAGATACCAAGAGCTTCCCCAGAAAGAGGAGCGAAGGGCCCGATGGGGAGGAGTGAGAGAGAGGGCATAGAAACCCTTAGAAATCTTGCAGCCGGCTTCTGTGCCCTGCAGAAGGCGAGAGGTGGCATGGGAAGGAACAGGGGAGAGCGACGGGAGCAAGGAGGGGTTCCAGCTGGGCCTGGGGCCAGGCAGGCCGGCTGTTCTCATGGAGATGAAACTTCTCGGGTTTCTGCCAAGTGAAGGCTAGAGACAGGGGATGTGGACCATCCGTCCAGAGGACAAGAGTGGAAGCCACAGAAGTGGTTGTAAGAAGAGAGAGTGAAGAGCCAGGGAGCCGGGGATGAGCCCTGGGAGCTGGTTCCTCGTGCGGGCAGAGCATGAGTGGAAAGGAGCAGGCAGAGGAGTAACGGTGGCTGTGGAGTCACGGCGCCTGAGGAACTGGCAGTGAGACCCTCGATTTTACAGATGAGGGCCTGAGCTCGGAATGTCCCTCCATGGCCTCCTGACTCTCGTCTGCCTGCACGGCCTCCAGGGCCGTGCCTCCTCTGGACACGCTGCTTTCCCAGCCTCAGCTGCCCCGTGCCAAGAGCAGAGTTGGGGTGAAGACGGTGGTGGTTTGCCAGTTCCCAGACCATCCTGCCAAAGTGGGGGAGGCAGTCCCTGCTCGGGCATCTCCCTGTGCTCCTGTTGTTCTGTGCTGTTCTGGCTGCCTTGTTGGGGTGGGGGTGGGGCTCACTCTGGACCGGAGGGCAGGTCCTACCTGGAGCCACGACCTGGCCGGGACAATGCCCGCCCCTGCCCCAAGCTGGCCTGATGCTGGCAGGCCACGTGAGTCAAGCCCACGCAAGCCACAGCCCTGCTGTGTGTGGGAGGCGGGCACTGAGGCGGTGCAGGGAACAGCTGGAAGGTTTTTGTTGGCCTTGGTGGGGCTGACTCCCTCTGGGTTCTGGTTTCCAGTTTAGATGGCAACAGAGGACGGTATTCACAGATGCTTTGTCCCACTTACACACACTCTGGGGAGGAGACAAGAGGGGACCGGCAGGGGTGGGGAGCGTGGGGGAGGACGGGTTGGCAGCAGTGGCAGCAGCCAGGGAACGAGCCCTGACGCAGGACCGGACCATGGCCACGGGGAGGGCTCCCGGCCTCCGGCACACAGGGTCCCTTCTTTCTGGGAGGCCACCTGGGTCTGGCTTCCACGTGGGGGCCTCTGGGGATATCACTTCACCTCTCTGGGCTTTAGCTACCTCCTCTGTGAAATAAAGGAATTGGACTGGCTCCCACCCAGCCCAAGAACTCCAGTGCTCTCTTTGCCAAAGGGATGATGTAACAGCAGAGTTCTCAAAGAGAGCTGACTGTGGGCACTGGACTTCACCGCCCAGGCCAGCCCTGAGGTCCCCAGCTCCTACAACTCCAATGCCGAGCCCACAGAAGAAAGCCAGGCCTCTGCTGAGCCCTGGCCCCACGGGGCTAAAGCTGTTCTCCCCACTGCCATCCTCGCGAGGCCAGGCAGTTCCTTGCCTCGGTGCCCCGAGCTCTCTGACGTGCCTTGGGCAGAGGGATGGCTATACTCTGCTTTGTGTCCTCAGGGTCAGCACAGCCTTGAGATGTGGTGATGTGCACGCCTCTGAACCCTGGCGTGGGCACTAGACTGGGCCCTTTAAGGAGGGGCCATGTCTTCATCTTGGCATCTCCCCTAGGCCCTAGGCCAGAGCTGGGTGGGAGCAGGTGTCCACAGCTGCTTGATGAATCACCCTCTTCAAGTATATACTGAGCTCTCCCTGCCACGTGCTAGGCTCCCATCCCAGGATGGAGGATGTAAACCAAGGCCCTCACTATCTTTCTGGGGTTCCACAGTCTCGCAGGACCCACCAGATAGGCTCCAAGGGTTTGCTTTCTCTGTCCTGCGACTTCTCTTACTACGTGCCACCTAAAATATTCCGAAAGCAGTAGCCCGAAGAGCTCAAAGAAGAGGCTGGAGTAGTCAGGGTGTGCTTCCTGGAGGAGATGCCCTCTTTCTGGGCTGTTACTGTGCCCACTCACACTGGGAGGCATCTGCTTCTCATGCCTCACTTTCTTGGCCTCCTCCATAACATCTGACTCCATTCCTGGTCTCAGAGGCCTATCAGGTCATGCTCAAAGCCCGGAGCTGGGATTGGGGAGCAGGGTGTGGCAGGGGTGAGTACAGTAAACTAGGACCAAGAGGACACGTGGAAGGCTAGGCCAGCCTCTGGAGCAGGACAGCTGTTAGTCCCCAACTTGAGCGCACGTGTAGAACTATGGACAAACCCTGGAGTCAGGACAGCGGCGGCCCCCCGTGCACCAGGCCTCACGCTGGGCACTTCCACGTGTTATCTCAGAATCTGTGAGTATTCTCATCCCTGCTTCACAGACGGTAAAGCCAGCTTAGAGAGGTCAAGTCGCAGGCCTGCAGTTGGCAGACCTGGGCTTTGCGTCTGTCGAACCCACGGGTGTCACAGTGCCCAATGCACTGCCCCTATTTCATGAGAAAACCTCAGAGACCTGACCCTCGTAGACTGACCTCTCCGTTCTTCTCTCTAACCCTAGGTGCCCCTGGCCCTCCAGGACCAAGAGGACTCAAGGGAGATGTAGGCATGAAAGGGCCCGTTGGTGGCAGAGGACCAAAAGGAGATGCTGGCGGCTTGGGTCCCCCGGGACCTCAGGGCCCCCAGGGGCAGCCGGGGGAAACCGGACCCATGGGAGAGAGGGGGCCAGTTGGCCTGCGAGGCTTCCCAGGCCTCAAAGGCTCGAAGGGCAGTTTTGGAACTGGAGGTCCAAGAGGACAGCCAGGCCCCAAAGGGGATGTGGGGCCCCCAGGGCCAGAGGGGCCCCCAGGGCCTCCGGGGCCAGAGGGGCCTCAGGGAAAACCGGGGATTGCTGGGAAGACGGGTTCACCAGGCCAGCGGGGGCCCGTGGGACCTAAGGGCGAACCCGGGATCCAGGGTCCCCCTGGGCTTCCTGGGCCCCCAGGCCCACCAGGAAGCCAGGTCCGCTACTGAGGAGGGTCCCCAGTCCCAGACACTGCCATGCAGAATGCCAGGAAGGGGGCTTAGGGCAGAGCGAGCTCCCAGAAAGCCTCACGTACAGATGACCGTGCTCCTTTGAGCCCGAGGGGGCTGGCCCCAGGCCTGGACCCTGCACCTCTGGGCTCCCTTGTAGTGGCTGTACCATGGAAAACAGTCCCTCCCAGACACACACACATGCATTTCCCTGCTGGCCGGGGGGCCAACTGGGTTTCCCTGGCTGGGCAGGAGGAGGGGGGAGAGGAAGGCCTCCCTCTCCCATGACTGAGCCAGCCAGGGAGGTGGCTACCTCGGGAGGAAGGCCTTGAACTTATCCCTGAATTGGTGACCAACGTCAGACTTCCCAGCATCTTCACACCCATCCCGGCCAGCAGTTTCCTGGGGCTCTCAGTGGTTAAAAGGACCCAGGGGAGCTTTTACAGGGGATTAGGGTTCAAAGTCTAGGGACAAGATGGACTTGGCGCCTGGCAGATCCTCCCCCTAACTGTGGGAGCGGAGACCTGGGAGCACCCGGCCTCACACGGGACAGAGGAATCCACTGTGGCCGCCGTCCTCAGGACAGTGCCGTCCTGCATACCGTGCCCTCAGGAGTTCAGCAGTGTTTTCCACATCTCCAGAAAATTCCTTGCTTCACCCATGCTTCCACCTGTCAGGAGCATTCCAGAAGAAATCTATGCAGTTTCATCTGTGCAGGGATACTCGCCAGGCACTGGACCATTCCGCCAAAGTGGCGCCCAGCCCATGGAAGGTGGAGGACGGCTGGCGAAGGCTGTGGTCACTAGGCTGCCTAGAAAGCTGTCCCCCTTGCTGTCCATTCCTGGGGGGGGCCTCTCTGTGGTGGCTGGGGGAGGACTGACCGCGGATAACAGGGCAGCTCTCCCTTCTGCACCCAGCTCTCCTTCTGCCCAGTGACCTCACGCCCTGTGACCCAGAATGGCCCACGACCTCTCTGCATGAGAAGCACAACTGAACGAGGAGGGATGGCCCTGAACATCCACAAGAGGCTCATTTGGACATCACCCCTTGCCCACCTCTTGACTTGCTGTACACCCCGGCAGGAGGGAGCATGCGGAAGCCCCCCAGTGGGGAGAAGGCTTCCCATAGGCTCAACTCGGGGAGCGGCCCTGCCTTCGTGTTCCAGCAGAGCCCGACCACCCCTGGGGCGGAGCAGGGAGCTGTCTCCTCCCCAGCCTGACTCAGAGATGAGCCCCTCTCCCCATTCCAATTGCCTTGATGCCATCTCTCTGCTCATAATAGATGTGCAACTGGTTTGCACTCTCGCCCGTCCCCACTGTCATGTAATTCTTCTGTCCACATATGATATCATGCAACATAGTATTACTGACTCAGTAAAGAGTTGTTTCCAAGAAGGGGGTGTTGTCTGGTCCTTTCTGCTCGACTGGAGGCATGATGCCTTTCGGGGCTCTGCCTCACATGGCGTTTGAAAGCGAACCTGTGGAGCAGCGGTCCCCCAGGTATTCATTCCCAGCGTGGAGTCTGGGTCTAAATCCCGTCTCCTCCCTCCAGAAATACTGAGCTTTGCTGGGAGCTCACAGGGGTCCTGTTGGGACCAGGGCTCAGGGGTGTCTGAGGGAATTACCCATGAAGAGCATGGACCTGGTAGGAAACAAGGGGAGCTTTATTAATCAGGCAGCAGGTAAAGGGAGACTGGAGTCCTGACGGGCGTGGCTCAGTTGATTGGGAGTCGTCTGGCAAAGTGAAAGGTCACTGGTTTGATTCCCGGTCAGGGCACATGCCTGGGCTGCAGGTTTGGTCCCTGGCCGGGGTGTGTAAAAGAGGCAACTGATTGATGTTTCTCTCTTACATCAATGTCTCTCTCTCTCTTTCTCCTTCCTGTCCCCTCTGTCTAAAAATTAATAAATAAAATCTTAAAAGATAAAATGAGACTGGAAAATAAAACAGGCCTGGACTGCTGAGTGATACCTCTTGCTTCCCCTTTTTGTCTCTAAGACAAGGAGCTAAAACAGAAAAGGATGAAGAGACCAGGATAGACCTGTTTCAAATGGTGTGACTCTCCAGGGTCCACAGGACACAAAGGACAGCTCGGTCCCCAGTGAATCAGCTGGCTTGCTCCAGGAAGCAGGACTTTGTGGGGGTGTCCTTTGGGGCCAGCCTTTAAGTCCTATGTCTTAGTCCATAGGAAGTGCTATAACAATACCATAGACCGGGGACTTATAAATGTAACAAATTTATTTCTCACAGTTCTAGAGGCTGGGAAGCCCAAGACCAAGCACCATGATTCAAGGCGAGCCCGCTTGCTGGTTCACAGACAGCCATCTTCTCACTGTCCTCACACGGCACAAGGGTCCAGGGAGCTCTCCGGGGTCTCTTAGAAGGCCGCTGTTCCCATTCATAAGAGCTGCATCCTCATGACCTAATCACATCCTAAAGGCATCACCTCCTAACATTGGGGGTTAGGTTTTCAACATACAAACTTTGGGGGTGCACAAGCCTTCAGTCTGTGGCAGCACAGTAACTCCCTTCTCTAGTAAAACGTAGCCTAGTATAAGCCTTGTGCCCTGTTTTACTTTTTGGGGGGGAGGAGTGGGAAGTGGGGAGTAAACATTAATCAGAGTTCTCCAGAGAAACAGAACTAAAAGAAGATACAGATATATAGATATATATGCACACACACATATATCTGTGTGTATATATATCTGTGTGTGTGTATATCTGTGTGTGTGTGTGTGTGTGTGAGAGAGAGAGAGAGAGAGAGGTTGAGAAGATGATCTGCCATCTGCAAGCTGTAGACCACAGAGAGCCAGAGGTGAAGTCCCAGTCCAAGGCAGGAAACCTAGGTCCCAGCTCATGTAGTCAGACACAGAGACAGAATTCCCCCTCCTCACCTCTTTGTTCTACTCAGCCTCTCCACAGACTGTATAACTACATGCTTTGTAGTTGAGGTATTGATCTTTACTCAGTCCACTGATTCAAAGGTTACTTTCTTCCAGAAACACCCTCAGACACACCGACAAATAATGTTTAACCAGATACCTGGGCATCCTGTGACTCAGTCAAGTTGGTATGTGAAAATAACCCTCCCAGGGCTCTTGGTGGAGAAAGTGAGTGAAGAAGTGGAAGGATAGGGATGGGTCTAATCAGGCCACTATAGAAGCCCCCACCATTTGCTCAATGACCGATGGTGGCATGGGGTCTCTCCTTCCAAGAAACGGCGGAACGTGTTAGGCACCGAGTTAGGTATGGTGGGTGAAGGAGGCCTTGTCCTGAGGGTGCCCATCTCTAGCAGGGGAGGGGAGCGCAGAGTAAAAGACAGCTCTCCACCGTGAGCCGTGGGTGGGTCTGGCCAAGGGCTGGCTAGGAGGGGCGCCTGAGGACAAGTCTGGCAGGTGAGGCTGAGCAGGGAGGGAAGGTGTCCCCTGGTGGTGGCACTGAGAGGATGGGTCATGGAGGAGGCAGCGGGGCTGAGCCAGTGGTATCATTTCAGTCTGGGTCCCCAAGGAAACCTCCAGGAGACTCTAATGACTCATTGCCCAAGGTGAGACGGAGGTCACGTGTGACAGGGGCACTGCTGGACCTGGCAAGTCGGGGCAGGAAGAGCCCAGGCAGCAGGGCAAGAGATGCCCTGGGGTCAAAATGCAGAAAAGCTGGGCCTGAGGTCACTTCCAAAGGGGGAGTGGGGCCAAAACGAGAGACAAGTCCGCAAGAATCAAAAACTGCAGCAATTCAAGAACATAAAAACAAAGGCAGAGGAAACCATGGGTCCTGGACAATTGCCACCAACATATCTTGGCCATGTGGTTCAAGGATCAACTTGATTCCAAGGCACAGGGTGGAGGCAGGCACCTTGAGCTCACCCATGCAGTCGGTCCGGGTCTCTGGTCTCCCTGGTCACAGAGGTCCTCTCAAGCAAGGAAATGTGGGGTGGGCATTCGTGATAAGGATACAACCGGTAAAGTCAAGGGTATGGAAACAGAAGTGTAGCTAAGCCTCAGGGTTTCTAGACATGTGAAGCTGCCAGTGTCTCAGGCTTCTGTCTTTACTCCAGAGAACAGACCAGCCTCTCATCTCTCTTTTAGTGGCTTTGATCTCTCTTCTCTGCCAGTCTTTGTCTCCATTCTCCTTACCAGCATCCTCTGTTTGCACAAGGCGCAGCAGAACAAGGCTGCAGCTCCACCAAAGGACTCAGCACCAGTGTTCCTGATTCCCAAGCCTAGGAGAGCAATTGGATTGCTAACCCCTTGGGCCGGGGGTCTGCCCCTGATCCAATGGGCTATGACCACGGAAGGCGAGGCAGAGGCAGAGTAAGAGGGGTCGTGTGGTAAAACTAGAGGCACAAAGAGCAAGAGTGAACACGAGCAAAGCTGGACATGAAATCTGCAATTGACAACATAGGACTAAGAGAATAACATCAATGATAATAACAAACACCCATGGAAGAGTTACTATGCCACAGAATACCATTCTAGGCACTTTACGTATATTAACTCATTGAATGCTCACTACAATTTATAATGTAGCTAGTATATCTATATAGCTATATATTTCCATATATCATGCTTGTCTGTCTATCTATCTATCTATCTATCTATCTATCTATCTATCTCTATATATACTATTATTATTACCACTTTACCAATAGGGGAACTGAGGTTTGGAAAGATTAGTTAACTTCCCACGGTCACACAATGACATTTTTAGACATCTCTCTGTTGAAACTCGGCCTTCTGTGAATTAACCTCGAGCATTCCTCTTCCTCTCTTGTGAAATGGGCATTCTAATCAAACCTCCCCTGTGAGGCTGCTGAGGAGGAAGTAAGACGATCCTTTTGTCCAGCTGCCCAGGGTATTAGTCAGCTCGGGCTCCCATAACAAAATACCACAGGCCGGGTGGCCCAAACAACAGAAATTTACTTTCCCAGAGGCTGGAAGTCCAAGACCAAGGTTCTAGCTCCCCCTGGCCTGCAGATAGCTGCTTTTTTGTTCTGTTTTCACATGGCTGAGGGAGACAGTTGTGGGGAAAGTGGGGGGAAGAGAGAGGAGAGAGAGAGCTGCTCTGGCCAGTGTGGCTCTGTTGGTTGGAGTGTTGTCCATGCATCAGAAAGTTATGGGTTTGATTCCCAGTCAGGGCACATACCTAGGTTGGGGTTCCATCCCCGTGGGAGTACATATGGGAGGCAACTGTTTGGTTTCTCTCTTTCTTGCTCTAAAAATACATACATACATACATACATACAAACTTTCTTTTAATTTAAAGAGAGAGAGAGAGAGAGGGTCTCTTCCTCTTTTTAGAAGGCCGCAGGCCTACTGGATTAGGGCTCCACCCTTAGGACCTCATTTAACCTTTAGTACCTCCTAAGACCCATCCCCCGAGAGTCACACTGGGGATTAGGGCTTCAGCGACCGGATTTGTCCAGAGCACCTGGCAGTGGCTGCCGTTCCCTGAACCGCAGCCGTTAGCACGATGGCCCTCATCGCCCCGATCCAGAGTTGCTTGAATCGCAGGGCTGCCAGGTCCCTCTGCAGGCGAGTGGCCAGAACTGGCGGCCCAGCGCTCTCCCGCTCCCACATTCCCTTAATGGTTCGAGCCAGGACCAAGCTGCAGAGCCATCAGGCTCAAATGCTTTACTTTTCAGGTGACAAACCAAAGGCTGGGAGCAGCTGAGGGGTTTACCTCCCATTTGGGACTAGAGCTCAGGTGTCTTGGTTCCTGGTCAATGCAATTTCTCATGCCTCTGGTTTGGCTGCCATTCTAGGTCTCAGGCCCCTTTCCTGTTGGGGAAGACCATTGAACAGCTCCTGCTGCGCATTCCCCCAAAAGGGCCCCTACTCTGATCCCTCTGTCCCACCTCATCAGATAACTCCTGGAACTAAAGCAACTCCCCCGAGAACCCGGGCCGTCCCGGGTACTGCCGACCAGGGGGTTGGTGGGGCGGGCAGGCAGCACCGCAAAGGGCGCAGCGAGCGCGCGGCACCCACATGTTGTCCTGTGCATAAACTTGGTGAAATGGATCCAGCCATATCTGCGTGAGGACATTGCGTGGGTTCGCAGTGGAGCCCCTCTGTGGACATGAAACCGGGGCAGGTCAGGCTCCCCCCACCAGGCCCTTCATTCACTGTGGGACCGTTGGCCCAACCCTGTCCCGCTCTGACCTTCGATTTCTTTATCAGGAAACAGAGAGTGGCCTGGTCTTGACTCCTTCTGGAATGTGCTGGATTCCTCTGGTCGGCAATTCTAACCAACAAAGTGCCCTTCCTCCTGCCCGTCTTGGTGACTTTCCTGGAACTTGCCAGGGCCAAGGCGATAAAGCTTGACCCCAGACTGTGAGGTGATGGCTCGAAGGGTTTAGTCACTGGATTAAAATCATGACCTTCACCTCTGGGGTGTCTGA